TGCCCGACCTACTGAGCCACCCAGGCGCCCCAGGAGACGCTTTCTATCTGTCGCCTTCCACCACCATAGCTTTGTAATACGTACTAAGCAGTCAGGACATTATATTCTCCTGGGGTGTGGGACCTTGTCAGACTGAGACGGGACTTCTGCTATAACATCGTTCCTTCTCTCGATTTTGAATAACCCTGTTACTCTTATGGATTCTTCCAGAAAGGATAATGAGTTCCATTAATATTAAGTTAATATCTCTGCCTTTCTTCCCCTGAGCTAAAAGACTATGTAAGCTATAGATACAGTGTTTGATTGATATTTAAAAACAAATTATCTTTCACTGGTTCCAGTAGCAGGATTCCATTTCTAAGGTAACTGAGGTCAGAAAAAGAAGTTTTATTAAATAATACAGCTGTAGTTCTCTCTGAATCGAATAGTAACACTATATGCCTTGATCTAATTGCCAGATATTAAGCTGGGTAATGAGTCTCTGACAGTATAGGCTTAATTTAGCTGACTTCAAAGTCTTGCTGGTACTTAAGAGTTTAAAATAGTAATTGTTCTCTAATGTCCTGGATATTAATTCCAGTGCATTTGAGGTTTCTCTCATATCTCATATATTTGAAAGAAATGAATGAAGAGTTTGTAATTATGGTTAGGACTGTCTATCAGTCATTTAAATCACATATTATAAAAAGGTACAGAGGAGTGGATAGTCACTTGAGTGAGTCTTTTTTTAACTTCTTTTCGCTTACATTTCCTTTTCACATGCTTTGATCTCCTTTTTTAAAAAAGATTTTATTTATTTATTTGAGAGAGAGAGAGAGAGCATGAGCAGGGGAGAGAGGCAGAGGGAGAGGGAGAAGCAGACTCCCAGCTGAGACTCCCCAGGATCACGACCTGAGCCAAAGGCAGATGCTTAACTGACTGAGCCACCCAGGTGCCCCCCCCCCCCACTTTTTGTGGGGCTTGAACTCCCGACCCTGAAATCAAGACCTGAGCTGAGAAAGAGTCAGATGGTTAACCCGCTAAGCCACCCAGGTGCCCCTGACCTCCTTTTTTTAAAACAAATTTGTAGGTCAAAGTTCATTGTGTTTGACAAGCCTTTCTGTATTTAATTCACATGTGGATAGAATTAAATAATATTTGAAATGGGTACAATCAGTTGCTTTAAATAGCAATTTTAAGTTGATACCTTTTTGGAATGGTGGTGGCCATCTGCAGATTTTATCCAGAAGGACAGAGCAGGAATGTGTTTCACTTTTCCATATGGTATTTTCCTAAAATGATCTGGTAGAAGAAGATGTATTATTTACATTAAAATGAGGCATATGGAAGAATCCACTGGGATAAAGAAAGAAAATATGAGGATTTCTCTTAAAAAAAATCCAGCCCTTTAACATTTGTATTTTTATATATATTTTATATAATGGAAAAATGTTAATAATTTATACAAAAATATATATTTTTATGTTACACTCTCCCCCCCAAATTGACTATACTAGGAAGGAATGAGGAATTGTCATAGATTGGCGGAAACTAAAGAAACACAATTAAATATAGTATGAGATCCTGGATTGGATTCTGGAACAGAAAAAGGGCAATAAGGGGGAGACAAGTGAAATTCACACGAGTTTTGTCGTTTAATTAATAGTATTATATAAGTGTTAATTTCCTGGTTTTGATGATAAATGGTTACTATTGGGGGAAGCAGGATGAAGGGTATACTTGAACTCTCTACTGTTCTAACTTTCCTATACGTCTAAAATTATTTCAGAATAAAAAGTTAATGAAAAAAATAGTTCAGTGTATTGACTAAGAGGACCAAAGGATAATGATTGTGAAGTATGTGTGTGTGGCGTATTGTATTATACACTCGTAACTTACTTTGAGTAGAAGTAGACTTTGTGACATTTTACCTGTGAAATTTTAATGGATTGGCAAAGAATTGACAGGAGGTGTCAGTGCTGTGCATGGTGCCAAACAGGTCATTCGAATTAATTTCTGATTAATTTTGCAGCAGATGTGTCTTTCCAGTCAAACTTAGTTTTATCTATCAAGTAGACACACTTAGCCTAAGGAAGGAAATGTACATAAAAATCATCAAGAATGGATGGTTACCATATATGGCCACCTAATTTAGGATAAAGACACCACTACATTTATGGGAGAAAGGGTGATCTTTTCAGTAAATGGTTCTGGATGAAATCAATGAGAGAAAAACACATGCTTCACAAAAGAAGATACCCATATGACCAATAAGCATATGAAAATATTCTCCACGGTATTGTAAAGAAAATGCAAATTACAAGCATAGTAGCGAATCACTGCACCGCTCCAAAATGGCCAACATTGACCGAACTGATAATAGCGCCTGCTGATAAGGCTGTGGAATGACTGGAACTCCCAGACTGCACTGGGAGTATAAATCGTACAACCACTTTGGGAAAACTAAAGCTAGGTATACATCTGCCCTATGACTCTGCAGTTCCACTTCTAGATACGGACCTTGCAGAAATGAATGTTTGTGTCTGTCATAAGCCAGGTATAAAAATGGTCAAAGTAGCTTTATTCATAATAGCCAAAAATTGGAAACAGTCCAGATTTCCACCAGTGGTAGAATGGACAGAAATGGAGTGGTCAGAGATGAAACAGTACAAGCAAAAGGGTGATAGTGATTCAAATGTACTTTTTCTGTATGTTTGGAAGTTTTGATTAAAGAAAAAAATTT